GCTGCAWGTCAGCATGACATCACAACGCTGTAACATACTTCGACATGAAGATAGAGACTTTTTTTTTTAAGTTTCCCTTCCATCACCGCAGAGTTCCCCTGCTGGCAGCCCAGACGCCGTCACGGAGCACAAAGARCCTTTTTACAAAACCCACGCATGTCCAGAGCCCCACAAGGAGACACGCTGCCAGATGTCCGAGCGGCTTGGACGACAGGCCTGCGAACATATGCGCACGKATGAACCAACGTGAGCGCGTGTGTACATATGGTTGACCCCTCCCTCCTCCGTGATATGAACCCCCCCACGATGGGTCCAGACGGTTTGTGTGGGAGGCAGGGTTTCACTTTGAAATGTGTTGAATCAGCAAGGGGCACAGCAGAGTACTGTTGTGTGTRTGTGGACAGGTTTTTCCTACAACGTGGGGACAATTTTACCAAAAAAAAGCAGCCTCGTGGGGACTGAAGTGAATCGTGGGGACCAATGCCAAGTCCCCACGGGTCCAAATGCAAATTACAGGTGTGAGGTAAGGTTTAGGACCAAGGTTTAGGTTAGTTTTAGAGTCAGGTAGGTACCTGTGAGGTTAGTTTAGTGTCAGGTAGATAGATACCTGTGAGGTTAGTTTTAGAGTCAGGTAGGTACCTGTGAGGTTAATTTTAGGGTATATAGTCAGGGTTAAGCTATAAAATTTCCAAAATAATGAATGGAAGTCAATGGAAAGTCCCCACAAGGATAGGGAAACATGGTATGTCTGTGTGAGTGTGTTAGTAAAAAAAACAAGCAGAACAAAGCTTGGATTTCAAGGCTGTCAGTGATGGCCTCGCCTTTAGGGGTTTGCTGAGGCCAGCTGGCTCTKCTCTGGTCAACAGCTTCCTTTAAGGTTGCTCACTTTCTCTACCCCCCTGAGCCAGCTTTCCCTCTCCTTCATATCAGGGAAACAGAAGGATTCAACCAACACACACACACACACGCATACACACACACACACAAACTCGCCCCCTGTGAGATCTGCTGAAATCAGACCCACAGGAGCTCTAATTACAAGTGATTCACAAATTGTAGACGAGTGTTAAAGTCTGTTAGATTGTGAAGAACGAAGCAATTAATCAGTCACCTGGGAACCGTTTAGTCTTTTCTTTCCGCCGACTTAGGTTTTATGGAGCCTTTGATGCAGCTGAATTCTCATCGAGTTGATGACGGTTTCAGTTTTTTTCCTCATTTTGTTTTTGTCCAGCAGCCTATGGCATCAGTTACAGCTGYGTTTTAGTTTTGAATGAAGAAAACACTCTTTAATAAAAACACTTATAGAAGAAGATATCCTTTGCAAGAGTTTGTTTTCACCAAGTCATTCTGCTTTGTGTTTCATATTTTCTTGTAGTGGTCACACAACAATAAGCTCCTMGATGTGAATGTGTACGGTTGAATTACGTGTGGTTATTATTGAAAAGAAAAAAAATTCTCATCTTATCTCATTTGCAAACTTGAAATATTTTGATACATTAGCTGCTTCTGTTGTGCCTACATTGACAAACACCCTTTTGAAGYGGGTTTCTGTAGGAAGGTAAGCCCCCAGGTAAGACTTTAATCGTCTTTCACACACATTCTTCAGAAACCCACATTAAAAGGTTTGAAGTATGGCTTTAAGGAGACCTGTCTATTTATATTGAAGGAACTCATTGAAAAGTATAAAATCAAAGAAATAAAAAAARAACATCCTGAACTGTATGAAACGGTGATGTTTGAACAGTTTGACAGAGTTTACTAAAGTAGTTTTCCAGATATATTGATACCGCTGTTCTGAAATGCGGGAATCACTCAATGTAAACAAAACACTTGGCTGAATCAAACTACCTGGAGGCTCGAATCATGATCTACATTAATTAGGTTGGTCTGTGTAGATATAAAAATATAATGGAATGAGATCAACATAGAATTTTGGGGGAAGATTTAAGGTGGAACTAAATAATATATATTAAATTATTTTTTATTTTATTTTATTATTAGTTTGAATGGTTATTTATTCAGGAAAACATTTAGCAGTACTGCCCTGYGACATTATAATAAACGTGAATATTTGACACTGAATGCAAATAAAATATCTGGAATGTATCGATTTGTTCACTTTAATGTCATTTAAATAAGAAAAGAATCAATAAACAGCAAATGGAGAAAATCTCTTTTGTAAATAATGGGAAATAATTTCATATTCTTATTTTTTGGTCAAACTATTTGACGTAAGCCAATAAAATATATTTTTAACTCTAGTTAATTTACACATCTGAATGAAAAGAGGAAGAGAGAGCGGAGGAGTAACGGATGTTAGAGAGTGAGATCCAGCATCACGTTACAAACACTGAGATGTGACCACAACTCACATGTCTCTGCTCTCCTGCTTCCTGAGAATTTGTTTAATTTTGCCGAGTTTGCACACACACTATTTAAAGACTGAATGTAACGCTTCAGCTGAAAACACACACACGCACCCTGCAAGCTCAGACCATGTAAATACCAAAGCACAAACCTAAAGGTGGAACCTGCTGCCAAAATTTCCTTTTCTCTGTCCCCACTTGCCCTGAGATTTTTGCCTCTGTCACACCACCCCCCCATGAGACCAGTGCGTAGTATTAAATTATCTACATTTAAAGAAATGGGCCGTGAGTGTTTATTCCTATTTAAAAAAAAAAAAAGAGAAAAAAGTTAATTGACTTCTTAAAAAAGAAGCTGACAGCCAGAGCTCGACTTTGATTTATTAGAGAGCACTCAGAAAGTGGTTACGGGTAATAAAGAATAATAATAATAAAAAAAAGTTTTGAACTTGTATGAAAAGGTTACAGGGATAGTTTTCAACTTGAAGTGCATCAAAACGGGTCGGTGCTTTTAGAAAGCGTTGCGCCCCCTCGGGGGTGGGGGGCATGTATGATCTTACAATGTGGTGTATTGTGGCTAACTCTTCTGACACGGCTGCAGCTGGCTTCTGTGAAGATTCCTGGGGGAGGGGGGAGTCTGTGAGGTGTGCAAGTGTGTGCGCACGAGTATGTTTTGTAAACCAGACGTCCCGTTCCCCTCCTTCTCTTTATCCCCCCCAGCACTTCTGCAGGGAGAAATGTGTGGTCCGCCTCCTACGCCTGACGGCTGTGCCAACATTCCAGACAAACATAAGAAGAAGAAAGGAGGGGGGGTGGGGTGGTGTTCAGTTAGGGGGTGGACAACGAGGGGACACTGAGAAAATGATTGAAACTCTTTGGTCCTACAGAAGAGGTGGTCTGCCCTCGAGTAAAAAAAAAAAAAAGAGGAGCGTAGGTGACATCATGTCCAGGGTTTGTAACAAGAAAGAGAAGGGGGGCTTGAGAAAAACGGAAAGCATTGTTTCCTTAATTGCCCCCAAGGCCTCCATCATAACC